CAAACAAACAAACCATATGAGTCTGACACGAAAAATTTGAAATTGGAACAGTTTTCAGCTTCTGTAACATATTTATAATAAAATCTGTTCATATCATCAAGGTGTACATCATCATATCTGTTCATATCCGGGTGTTATGGGAGTGAATTAAAATTACTGATTTTGTTAACAGCGCACGTATTTGATGTCGTACAGTATTCATCATCATTGCTATTAATAAGAGTTCTAGTAACATTGACATTAACACAACTGTCAAATAAAGATTTAAATGTATCTTGACATCTCTTGCTGACATAAGTGTGTCCTGTATAATTGTGCATTTAATTTCATAAAATCTGTTTATATCATCAAGGCATATTTTACAAGTTCAATCCAAGTGTAACACACAGTTTACTTTAGTAAAAAATGTTACTTTCGAAAATAAATCAGGTAAAACACGTAGAATGTATGGTGTAACGAAACTAAAAAGTGAATTCACGAGATTTTATTTTTCCAAAACGTTTCTCTGTTTACTATTGTCCGTCACAGATACACACACATATATATATATATTAAGTTTCATTACCATTTTTAGAGTTCAAATATTATTTTAGCCTCTGGTTATTCAGATCGATAAATTTAAAAAAAAAATTCCAAATCAGAATTTATTCTGTGCTCTGGGTCACACACTCTCTCTCTCTCTCTTCTGTCATCGCAAAATACAAAATTTTATTTTATTTGTTAAAAATTCATTACTTTACATTATGCAAACAAGATGTATTCTGAAGAGATTTTTCCTAAAGTTGTTATAAGGTATTAGCCTACAAAAAGGTGATGACAGAAAGGGAGTTTAGGAGGTATGTAATTGGATTAGAAAAACTTTTGGGGGGGGCGTATTTTGTTAGAAAAGATCAATATACTTGCGAGATAAAAAAGTTCAGGTTATTCTCAATTCTATCTTCCACAAGGGAAACGAAATCTTCGAGAGCAAAGAAGAAGAAAAAGCACGTGAAAGTTATAACACTGGGAAATATATAATTACTCTTGAATTAATAATGGACAAATATGTATATATAAAGTGTGGGCTATTTTTTTTTCGTTTTTTTTTTGTACTGACGGCTATTGATCTTAAAGAAAACAAATCTTGGTAAAGATGATAAGACGGATTTATTTGCATGGAATACAAATTTTGCTTTGATCTCATTCTAAAGAAATCAAATAAAGATTTTTTAGTAAAAATGTGTTTAAATAAAATGTTTTCTATTACCTAGCACAAGTGATGTCTTAAAAAAGAGTCATTCACAGCTGCAACAACCGTGGGTTGTTTCAAATTATTATTGTTGTTTGTTGTTGTTGTTTTTTCAGGGGTTCCAGGAATAAAGCTTAAACCTGTCCACTACTACGATGAACAAAGAGGTAACTTATACTGTTTTTAAATTAAGAAACAGTCAATACGATTCAAATTTTTCAAAGCATTTCCGATATTTTAATGAATTTGGAAGTTAAATCCTGTCACACACTTATCCTCGCTAAAAAAAGATGTAAAGTTTAAATTGTATAATATTTCTAAAGTAATCCTAACAAAGCTATGATAATCGGGAATGATAATACTACTTTAATGTTCGTATGTTGTCCGAGTATTGTAAAATGAATTACATTCGAAATGACCTTAATAAAAAACACTAACTCTTATGTGTTCGCAAAAATTTTGCATTTATATTTTCATAGAAGTCTATTTTACCCCTTGACTTCTAGAGTACGCGGAATACAGCTCTGTCGTGGGGAGAAAGCTCGTCCTACCATGTAATATTACGCCCCCTTCTCCAGACGACCGTGTTTCACTCGTGTTGTGGTATCGTGGAACTTCTGGAAATCCTTTGTACAGCGTAGATGCTAGGAACGTGCCTGTAGAAAAAGCAAAACACGTAATACGTGATGAGTATGTGTCTAGGACTAGCTTAAATATCACGAAAAGAGCGGCTTCGCTCGTTATACAACCAGTTGAAGAAGGTGACGCTGGTGAATACAGATGCAGGGTGGATTATCAAAGAGGTCGAACCAGTCACCGAAAGTTGAAAGTCAACGTTATTGGTAAGGAGTTGCTGAACCTGTATTTTTTGTTAGTTTTTGTTGTTGTTGTTGTTTTTTCATGAAATTTATTTCATTGTTATGTTAATTTAATACAACATGTTGACGTTAATCCAAAACGGCCCCCCAGTGGCTCAGCGGCAAGTCTCTGGACTTACGACACAAAAAATCAGGTTTCGATACCCGTGGTAGGCATAACACAAATAACTGATTGTGTAGCTTAACAAGAAACTAGAAAACTACAATACGAAATGGATCATAAGTTTCATGATCAGCTTATGCAATATTAGTAATTTTAAAGCTTATGTGCAAAATGAAAGTCTAGAAAAGAATGCAAATCACGTAAGCACAATTTAATAAAACTTGAAAGTAAGCAGTATAACTGCTAACAAAAGTTAGACTTGAAGCAGTGGGTATGACGCGCGTGGGGATAAGTATCCATAACAATATTACCTGAATACGGAGCGTTAAGTCCAGGAGATCAATCAAGCCGCTCCTAATTTCGCGCCGTAGAATCCCATGTATAACCAAACTGCACAGCCAAGTTAATGCTAACGTTATCCGGATATCAATGAAAATCAATAGCCAATTTCCGGTATTTATCAGACATTCACGAAGCAAGGGTAAAGAAAAAATATTTACAAATAATGAGGTTATTGAAACGACAAATTCTGATCGTACATAGACTTAATAAAACGAACATTTACAAGGACAATAATATTTTGTAAGTAGCTCAAGTTGACGTGTCAGTTACCAGGAATTGGTTGTTTGGAAATGGACGTGACTTTATATATTAATTTATCTGTAGTAGTGTATCACAGTTATAAACACTGCTGTTCAAATTTCATAATTATAACAATTCAAACAATATACACACGGAAACCGTTTCAGCGTGAGGAACTCAGTAAAAAAAAAAAACATCGTTACTACAAAACTCACAACTTTATACTTAGAGTTTCAACAGTCTGAAACTATCGTGGTGACTCTTAAACACTGCTGCCCAAATTTCATAATTGTAACAATTCAAACGACATACACACGGAAGCCGTTTCAGCGTGAGGAATTCAGTAAAAAAAAAAACAACCGTTACTACAAAACTCACAACTTTATACTCAGAGTTTCAACAGTCTGAAACTATCGTGGTGACTCTTAAACACTGCTGCCCAAATTTCATAATTGTAACAATTCAAACGACATACACACGGAAGCCGTTTCAGCGTGAGGAATTCAGTAAAAAAAAAAAACATCGTTACTACAAAACTCACAACTTTATACTCAGAGTTTCAACAGTCTGAAACTATCGTGGTGACTCTATATTATAATACAGTACATTTCTTTTCTCTCACGCAACTAAAATGACACAGATAGCGTGTGAATTTTGAATAGCTGTATGCTCCTCGTAAGACGAAGGAAGGCAGTTAAAAAAGATTATTGAAATCTCCCTCAATTTAAACTGGTACACTTTTTTTGGCTTCAGTTTCTCAAAGCCTGAAAGTGCAAAGCTTTGGAACATATTTAAGACGAATCGATCCAGTGTCAATAGTCCGAGTTTTATTTGTTACTTTCCCCGAGAGGCTGCTACTTGTGTGACTAGAGTCACTTTTCTGGTGCATTTACTTGTCACCGGTATCTTGGGTGACTTGAATCGTTTGTCAGACGTATAACTTGTCACTGTTACCTTGCTGAAAGATTAATACTGTACAAAACGATTATCCAAAATATTTACATTTTACTTTACCGAGAGGTTGACATAAAGATGTGATCAGACATATTTACTTTCCTCAGAGAGATTTTTATACTTGGTTACACAAGAAGATTATCAGAGATATCAAATTTTCCCCTTCCTCGGAAACTGATAGTTGGATGATTAATCCACTTAATATGTGTGTTTACTAGTCCGAAAATCCTTCCAGACCGACTAAAACGTTTCAGACATATATATTCTACCATTGTGAGAAGTTGGTAATTATGTGATTCAAATCACTGGACAGACAGACATACTGGTGTGGTTCTTTTTTGTTTTGACTACTTTTAGTCTACTTAGATGCAATGCATATTGATATATTTTGTCATACTTTTCTAGAAATATCAGCATTTTCGTGATTAAACACTATTGCCAATGGTCAAAAAGGTTTTATTTTAATTTTTAACGAATTTCTTAATTTGAGACTGGCAAACGGAGTTTAAGACTGATAGACGATGTATTGACACCGTAATGTGGGTCTTACTTCCGCAGTCACCCCCAAAACCCAGGGCACATTTTATACCCCACATTATAGCCTGCACTTTGGGGATCCTTTTAAATGTAATTTTGTTTGTTGGACTTATTTTGTTCATTAAAATGTCATTTATCACAGGTTTGGATTTGCTATTTTTAACGCAGTCCTTCCTATTGCTTTTATATTGCTTGACTGTTTAAGTATTTATTTTATATATATATATATTATCTTTATTGATACGTTTTCCTTATACTTCACAAAAGTGTTTATCAGCTAGTGCTGAAAATATTTAGAAGTATAACAAAAATCAGTTTTAGAAGACAGAAGTTCGTTGTCTAATGATAAATGTTAGTGTCATTAATGATCCTTCAAAAAATAAAAAAAAAAAAAGTTTTTCTACTTTTTTTATTTTTCTATGAAACTGAGATTGTGTTCACATCATTAGCATAAGTTTTTTTCTCTTTTTGTTTCACGATTGGATTTCTCTCTTCCATTTTTCTTGTGTAGTGCATTTGAATTCCTAACGATCACGAATCCATGGAGGAATCTCCACTTCGATCCACTCACAGTTAAAGTAGCTAAACCGTGGATAGCAAACGAATGTGTTTTATTTTTCGTAAGTTAGCATTGGCCTGAGCGAAAGGCTTAGTGCAAAACAAAAACATAAAATTTACAGAGCTGAAAAAGAATTTATTTAATTATGAAATTTAATCAAAAGCCCACTTCGCAGTAAAACAAACATATAGTTAACGCTATGATGTTGGTAAAATAACGCCATATTTGTACTCGGTTACGAAAAGTCCTTTGTTTGGAATGAATCGGATTTTCTTCGTGTGAGGTAATATTTGCGCGTTGAATGGTTAGTTCGCTACGGATATTGTGTAATGAGCGCGGTGAATAGTTAGTTCGCTACGGATATTGTGTAATTTGCGCGTTGAATGGTTAGTTCGCTACGGATATTGTGTAATTTGCGCGTTGAATGGTTAGTTCGCTACGGATATTGTGTAATGAGCGTGTTGAATGGTTAGTTCGCTACAGATATTGTGTAATGAGCGCGTTGAATGGTTAGTTCGCTACACGGATATTGTGTAATGACCGCGTTGAATGATTAGTTCGGTACGGATATTGTCTAATTAGTGCGTTGAATGAATGACGGTCAAATATCACAATAAGATTAGAGCATCCCAAGAGTTACCGGCGGGTGCTGTTGATCAGTTACGTCTAGTCTATGAGGCAGCGTAGTCCAACTTATATCATTCTGGACTACAGATCTGCAGGTCCTGTGAATGCGTAAAATATAAAAAAATAAATCACGCTCCATACTATGGGACTTTGGGATTTTTCGATGTGACAAGAATAGCTGTTGACCAGCTGCTTTCCCTCTGCCCTCCAGTAGCAGAGCGGTATGTCTGCGGACTTACAGCGCTAGGGAAACCGGGTTTCGATACCCGTGGTGGACAGTGCACAGATAGCCCATTTTGTAGCTTTGTGCTTAACTTCAAACAAACAAAGCGTTCACTTTGCCCTCCAGTGGCAGAGCGGTATGTCTGCGCACTTACAGCGCTAGAAACCTGGTTTCGATACCCGTGGTGGACAGTGCACAGATAGCCCATTTTGTGGCTTTGTGCTTAACTTCAAACAAACAAAGCTTTCACTCCATTTTGCCCCTCAGTCACTTAGCGGTAAGTCTAAAGACTTAATACACTAAAAACCTGGATTTTATAATTGTGGTGGGCACAGAACGGATAGCACACTGCGTAGCTTTGTGCTCAACAAAAAATTAAAAAAAAACTCTATAGTTTAAAGTGTTTATTCTTCCATAGTTTTCTGTTACATTTGATTCTATCATAGCGATCACTTTATTGTAGTGCCTCCTAAAAAGATATACATCAGACATGGTGAACACGTCTTCGAAGATACTAACATAGGACCGTTTGACGAAGGTAGTCACTTGAATCTGACATGCGAAGCCGTGGGAGGTAAAATATTTCAAAAATACATACGATATTTTTTTTCTGTAAATTTAAATTGGAATTGGCATATGTAAGAAATAAGTAAAATTGACTTGTATATGAACTTAAATATGGAAAGACAGGTAACAACAAAACTGTTGATGTTGAGATAAAAGACAATTAAAATATAGAACTTAATTAATTTTCCAATAATTTATCATTGTCATTTTTATTTGTCAAACATTAACTGTCAAGCGGATACCATAACAAATTACATTTTACACAGTATCGAGCTTAACACACGCGTATTTTTAATTTTTATAAATATTTTATTACACACAGTATCGAGTTTAACACACGCGTATTTGTAATTTTTATAAATATTTTATTACACACAGTATCGAGTTTAACACACGCGTATTTGTAATTTTTATAAATATTTTATTACACACAGTGTCGAGTTTA